GCCTTTTGGCCGTACGTTCACTTTTAGTATGGTTTCCACGCAATCCTTTATAAATGAGACCCCAGACCTTTTTATTGTCTCATAAAACCCCAGAAAACTAGGATTGTTTTTTCCAGATTTCCTTATTAACTATATTTGAGAATCAGCAATCTGTTATGTATCAGGTTCTTATTTTGCTTTCTGTCCAGGTGAAGTGATTCTGGATCCATCCACTGCCCAGAAGAACCTGGTCGTGTCTGACGATGGTCAGCAGGTAAAATACGAAGAGCGTAAGGTTTCACACTCAGAGGGTTCGAAGCACTTCAACCCAGCCCTCTTCGTCCTGGCTCGAGAGGGCTACAACTCTGGCCGGCACTACTGGGAAGTGGACGTCGGACGTAAGATAGCCTGGACGCTCGGCGTGGCCAGGGCTTTGGCCCGCCGCAAGGGCGAGATCAATCTGAGTCCCGAGGGCGGGTACTGGTGCCTGTGGCTGAAGAACGGCGAGGTGAAAGCTCTGGCTGCCTCCCGCCTGTCTCTAATGCTGCCGAGTCATCCCAGCAAAATAGGAATCTTCCTGGATTACGAAGCCGGTCAGCTCTCCTTCTACGACGTGAAGGCGCGCCTACACCTCTACACCTTTAAGGATAATTTCAAYGATAGCGTGCATCCCATCTTCAGTCCCTGTCTGACCCATGAGGGGAAAAATGCATCTCCTCTCATCATAACCCACGTCAAACACAGCTGAGGCTGGCAGACAGCTAAACATTTGTCACAACTTGATTAAGGGTCACGAACAAAGGGCTTGGAATGAGTCTTTTAAAGATGAGGATTCTTGTTTACCAAGCACCTCACATCAAACAATGTCCACTTTGTTAGAAATGATCAAAGAAAGTGACTTTGAAACTTTGACAACACTTCCTCATCAAACTGTGGACTGTTTTTGTAAAAAAAAAATTTGACTGCTAACAGTCTCATCTTCTACTTTACAAAGAACTGAGCATTGTTTAAATGTAAATATCTCTAGGTACAGAAACACAAAAACAATCAATCAAAAAAATTAAATTAAATTGAACACCAGTTTTCCAGAGTTTCCTTAACTCTATGTTATCTCTAAAGTTTTATTTAATCTCTGGTTTTGTTGGATTTTCGAAAATAATTGATAAATTGTCTATTTCTGTGACTTTACGCAAGAATTTTGAGGCCTTTGAGACTTTTTATGTTCAATTTGATAAATGTAAAATGCTGAAGGAACCCAGACAAAGGTTTTTTTTAAGTAATGTGTTTAGGTGGGTGGATGTTATGTTTTCTCTTTAACATTTACTTTTGTACGTTCCTGAACTTGTTCAATAAAGATAATCTCTAGTTGTAAAATAAACCATTCAAGGTCCTGGTTCAAGGAAATCTGTCTGGCTTAAAGCCAAAAGGGTTTAAAACATTACTTACATGATATCAAAACACATTCAGAAATGTCCTGGAAAACTAAGAAATTATGACCTAATTCAACTTTTTTTTTAGCCTCATGACACTTAAGATTAACTTTTAATACTTCTTATCATCACCTGAAAGTCAAGTTTTTGTTGGGTGCTTACCTGTTTTTTGTTACATTTTTAGGCCTTTTTCTGATATAAACAACTACATTGATATAGCCTGGCCCTTGCCTTCCTATGCAGCTCCGCTCAATTCTAGTTTCCCTTCTCTGCTCTGTCTGGGACTTCTACCACTGAGATGGATTTCACTGGCAGATTTTTAGCAGGGCCAATCAGAGAACAGAATGTCAATTTTCTGCGCAGTGTCTGCTTGTAGTTTATTTTACCTGGACCAATCAGCAAACAGAAGGAGTTTTGAATGACGTCGACTTTCTGCGCAGTGTCTGCTTGTTAGTTTGGCATACGGCAGTGGAGGAAGTGAATGAAGCC